TGCCGCTCTCCAACAATGCATTTGCACCATAAACCGAAATCAAAGGGTACCGAAAGCACTTAAGCACAGGCGTGCGATAAATCATTAATTAATAGTATACATCAATACCGGAATAACATAGATCAATATAAAAAAGCGTTGCGTAAAAATTTTTAATTATTGAATGGGACACGTGGTTTTTGTTCTAACAATGGCGGCAATGAGGGTTAATCCTACAATTGTGACGGTCTGGAAAAAACGAAAAATAAATGAAATAGAGGAGTTTATTGAATCCGTTCGACCACATCGGTATCATGTATAAAGACACTGTATTTAAACAACGTTCATGGATGGCTATAGGTGTTAAATTTCAAATAACAGATAGGTCTAGTAGAATCTATATATAGGCCTAATATTTAGATCATACGTTCTTTATTTAAATTCGGAATACGAGTCTATTAATTGAAATTTTCTATATTATAACTGAGGAAGTGGAGAAAAACTGGAAAGTACAAAGTGATAGATAGCCTATATTAGAGGAAAAAAAATTAATAAAATTAGCACTCTAGGTGGCAGTGGTGTTTCCTATTCGGCCAGAATTTTTACGTATGTGTGCTCTGGGATAAAAGCGTAAAACAGAAACAGAAAGCTGATTTCTGATTCGGTTTTCTGCCACACAATTTCACGCATGTGCGTTTCCATGACGTACCCTAACTGTCTACCAAATTTCACCTATTTAGGTTAAGCGGTTTGCTCTGGGCGATGATGAATCGGTGAGTGAATGAGTCAGTCAGTCAGGACAGAAGCAATTTTATATATTTAGATTCACCGAGTTCCAGCAAGTTACTCCGTTAATTTACAATTCAAAACATTTATACAATACTTAACGTCACTACGAAAAAATCATCTTTCATGTTTTCCTTTACACAGGTTTCATTTTATATCGAATATGCTTCGGACAAATTGGGGTATATATTTATTTCAACTGTTTCTTTTCACTACTGACAAATCTTATGATATTCATTTACATTATTACGTTAGATCGCAGTTTAGCATGATACTAATTACTTTACAGATAAAATTTTCTTATTACGCAACGTTACTAGCATTTTGAACAGGTCTTAATCCTATGAGGGTTATTGAACTGTACATCTTATACATTTTCATGTTTTATATTTATCTTGACTCGTTTATAATATATTCGTAATTATAACGATTCGCTTTAATACAAACTCCCGTAATTGCATTCTAAAAAATACACGAAAATTAAATTTTCGTTTCGTTCCGACTTATGGAGGATAAACAACTTTAAGCTTTAAAACATCAAATACCGTTCACAGCCCGGCACACGTATTTGTAAAATCTAAGTGACTCGTACAACATGGAATTCATATAACACGGAATTATCTACGGTGTTATAGGGGGGTCTAGTAAGCGGCTGGATGGCCGAGTGGTCAGGATGACAGCCTACCGCTCTGGGAGACTCGGGATTGAATCCGAACGGGTCGAAAAATCCCCAGGAATCTTTCTGGGGGTGGTCCGTTTGGATATGTCGGACCCGCCCCTCACCCCCCCCGGCAGCCCCATTGTGGGCCAGGCCGAACCCATAATGGGCTTGCAAAAAGAGGCCCTCTTAGTGCCCACAGGGCGGAAAGAGTAAAAAAGGGGGTCTACTGTATTAACGCAAACAGCCATAAAAAACTAAATTTAATGCATATTTACGTATTGCTGGGCAGAGCAGTGTAACAGTACAACGTGGGCTGTAAGCTCGACATCGGTCACAAAACTAAAGATACTTGCGCAAAGCGGAAACAACACAAAAATAAATTATGAACTATGTAAAATTCTGGCGGTCAATAGACTTTAGTGTACTAAAACACCAAAACCGTGTTTTAGGCTGAGACTCCACTACCGTAAAAACCCCTCGCGGTAAAAGCTTTTAATCACGTGATCCTGATATTTTACGCCTGAGCAGGTCGTAAAACCAGCCTAAAAGCGAGTTGAGCAGTGTTCAACTTTCGACGCGAATACGGCCGTAAAGAGGTACATTCCACCAATCAGAAGTCAGTGAAATCTAGGTCATCGCGATACGGAGCTAAAATGGCGGAAAACGAGCTTTTGTGTACGTTCCCTCGTGGCTACTCTAGAACAGATCCGGAAGAATCTACGACAACAGGTAACCTGATTATAATAATGGATACCGAAGGAAATCCTTCAATTTAGAGGAGTACAGTATATAATAAAAAAGCTAAGCTTATAAGTGCTGTATATTATTTTAATAATACGATAATAAAAGTTAGTATATGAAAGTAAAGATATTATATTTACTATATTTGTAATTATAGTACAGAAAAAACTCGTAGAATATAATCATTGTCTTTATATCGATACATCACGTATACAACCGTCTTCCGTTTCTACCAATTCACGTGCGAAGAAGTATTTACTTTCGACACTTGGCGCAGCACCGTCGCCGTAAAAACGTCGCGCTAGCCTGACCTCCACCGTAATTCGAGCGCAAACGCAAATAGGTCACGTGATTAAAAGCTTTTACGGGAACGGATTTTTACGCCGTTTTTACGGTAGTGGAGTCTTTGCCTTAGCCTAAGGCCAGGAACACACGTGCGTAAAATTCCGCGTAAAATCTAGCATAAAACAGAAAACGTAAAATTTTTTCTGAAATTTTGGCTAAAACAGAGTAGAGCGTGTCTCTACTTTTTACACCGAAAAATTTTTACTCCAAAATTCCTCCAATAAAGAGAAGTGTTTCCTGTGACGACAAAGTAGACACGTGGTTTTTATTCTAACAATGGCGGCAACGAGGGTTAATCCTACAATTGTGACGGTCTGGAAAAATAGAGGAGTTTGTTGAATCCGTTCGACCACGTCGATATCATGTATAAAGACACTGTATTTAAACAACGTTTATGGATGGCTACAGGTGTTAAATTTCAAATAACAGGTAAGTCTAGTAGAATCGATATATAGGCCTAATATTTAGATCACACGTTCTTTATTTGAATTTGGAAGACAAGTCTATTAATCTAAATTTTCTATATTATAGCGGAGGAAGTGGTGAAAAAAAAATGGAAAGTACAATGGGATAGATAGCCTATATGAGAGGAAAAAAATTAATAAAATTAGCACTGTTGGTGGCAGTGGTGTTTCCTATTCGGCCAGAATTTTTACGTATGTGTGCTCTGGCATAAAAGCCTAAAACAGAAACTGAACTAAAAGCTGATTTCTGGTTCAGTTTTCTGCCACACAATTTTACGCATGTGTGTTCCTGGCCTAAGTTTTAACTAACAAATACCAGAAATGTGGACGTAAAGGAGCAACGACTGGCAGGGACAAGAGAAACTGGAAAAGGATTGTCGTCCGAAACCGCTTTTAAAGCGTTAAACACTCGCATGCACAATGGACAGCAACCGAAGTAAACGTTAGTAGCCGAACCGCGTGCCGAAGGTTGCTCGACTCGCGCTTCTGTGGCCGTCGGCCATATATATATTTGTATAAATCGAAACCTGTATATTTATATAGTCGTAATTCTATTTTATTTCGGTGATTTCCTCTATTTCATTCTTCTATCCGTTCCTGGAACTTTCTGGGACGACGGTTATTGCCTTTGGGTAGGATTAGCTATTCCTCGAACAGAAGCATAACAATAGGAGATAGGGTGACCGGGTGAAAAACGACCGACGTGTTAGTCAGTTTTTGGACTGGAGACGAAAGGGGTTAATTTAAAATCCATGTTTCCTTTCACGAGAGGATTTTGACCTTACCCGAAGAAGTTAATGAACAAGAATACGAATTTCAATTAATTCGACTATTTAGGGATTAGGTAAAGGAAAACATCTTTATGTGGAAGTTAATGATGTTCCTAATAGTACTAATGAGAATATACTGGATTGCGCTGTAAAAAGTATTTAAATTGAACTGATATCGAGCCTGACTTTTGAAGTCCGAGCGTGATAAGCACTTGTAGAGTAAACAATAATAAACTTAATTCGTAGAAACTGGATTCGGCTATTACTAAACAAACACTAATAACCGTTTACTGCCATAATGTTTATTTATTTGCTTGCTTAATCCTATTATCAACACCAGAATTAAAAATACAGTATCTGTCCCTTAAGGACCATTTTTTTATTATCATTGATAATTAATATTGATGTCGAAATAAAAGCAAATTCCTATTTAAAAAATTAGAAAGTAAAATTTTTCGCGAAAAGAACACTCACAAAATGTGTTTTTATAGGAAAAACTATTATAAAAACATAAAATAATTAAAAATAAATGCTTTTAGTTATAAACTATGGCTTCGGAGATACAAAATTTGTCTTTTTATTTTATCATCTAATAAAAACCGCAGCGAAATACGTACAGTCTAATGTTTGAAACTCTTTCACCTTCAAACAACTACTGGTCGACGATTGCGAGGAATTTTCGTGAACGACTCAGGGGAATACGGGGTTCTAGCAGAATCTTTACTAGCTAATGTAAGTACTCAAACATATCACGAGATTTTCGGTCATTTCTACTATTTATATAGAAAGAGACCGAAAAACTTCAAAAACAAAAACTACTATTCGGTATAGCATTACAAAATTTGCTGAGGACATAGACAACTTTTAATAGAACTTAAATAAATTTCAAAGAAAACTTTCAATTGATATAACGTGGTTTCTAGTTTTCATCGGAGGTTCGTATATGGTAATCCGAATTTCAAGACACTAATCACTCTATATCTGGTCACGTCTATCTAACTGTGTTCTGGAGATTAGGACAGAGAAACGGACTACAATGGAAATTTACAGGTCTACAAATTTTTTAATTTGCAGTCCAATAACATTACAAATTAAATGACAAATTCAAAGCGAACAGATAACTAACGAACATTGGTAATTGGTCGCAAGTTCCCACCTGTATAACATACTGGCCAAGTCAACTTTCCGGCTTTTCTTAACGTTTATAACAACTAAATTGGATCGAATTTCCCATAAAAAGTCCTCCCAGAAGCATTACCTCTCCACGTCATACACGTGTCGTATACAAACAAATAAAAATTTTAAAGTAATTTTATTGACATCAATTAAATACAAATGAATGCACAAAATAGATCTTGGAATAACGTTATAATTTTATTTTATTAATTATGTATTAATATCATCAACGCATTATTGTGCAACAACCGATTAGCATTGTTTCAACTTTAACAAAAGTCTTCAGCAAATTAACAAGTCGCAATTCGAGCTCTTTCTAGAGAAAGAAAGTGAAAATGACTGAAATGAATGAAACTGTGAGTCTAAGTCGCCAATTAAGATAAAAATGATATATTTTGTATCGTAATTGATGATGAATTCAACGAGCAGTGCTCATTTACATTTGACAAATCATTTTTCCTTGTAGGAATTGCCAAAGCCGTCGGTTCCCGAGCTCTCCGTCACTCTAAACAGATTCTTGGAAGGAATCAGAGCAATTGTTCCCGGTGACAAATACGAGGAAGCTCGAAGATTGGTCGAAGATTATAAAAAGTCGGAAGAAATGCAAAAGCTGCAGGAGTTCTTGAAGGAATATGCAGAAAGCCATGAAAATTACGTGAGTGTTTCTTCTTTCTCAACATGTCCTTTCACTAGAAATAATAATAAACGCCCTTGCAGGTGACCGAATTCTGGCTGAAAGAAACTTTGAAAAATCCTTTGCCTCTCCCCATCAACTCCAGTCCGTTCTTCCTTCTGCCGAAGCGGATATTCAATACGGATGACGAAAGATTTCGGTAATACAGATAAACACCAACCGAATGCCGAAAATCTATCGGGCTAGTTTAAGGCTAATTACTAAATGATTTACGTAACCAATTTGGCTCTAGAAGTAAGCGTCAGGCGCCATCTCTTATTAACATTAATAATTATAAATTAATTAATTAATTTAAATAATTTAGAACCGCTGGAGAAAAAATCGGCTTGGAGCGGATTCAAACCCACAACCCCTGCTTACCGTGCAGATGCGTTGCCAGTTACGCTATCCGGACCTCCAGTCCGATCTCCTCCTCCAGCGTATAGAAGCTAACTATATAACCATCGACGGTTATTACAACGCCGGTTTTTTCTCTTAGAGGTTCTAAATTATTTAAATTAATTAATTTATTTATAATTATTAATGTTAATAAGAGATGGAGCCTAACGCTTACCTCTAGAGCCAAATTGGTTACGTAATTCATTTAGTAATTAGCCTTAAACTAGCCCGATAGATTTTCGGCATTCGGTTGGTGTTTAGCTTTAATATTATATATCGGGTATAGCGATGTCTGCATAGATTTCAGTAATGGTTTCTAGTTAAATAATCATTTTTAATTGTCTTATTGATGACTGTGGATTATTTCTCAGATTTATAGCGAGATTTATCCTCTTCTCTCTTAATTTCAACAAAAGAGTTGACAGGTAAACAGAAATTATAAACAAGAAACAAATTATTTACACGAGAAAAACTGAATAAAATCATTGATTTTAATTATTGTAGATGCGAATTAAAACATGAATTTGCTGGGGGACAGGAGAAAAAGAATGCACTTTCCATGGCCACGTATCGTCACTTCTTCACGGCTTACAGGAGACCAGGCGCGATTAAAGACGAACACATTTTTAGTGAAGGCGGCAGATATTTCATTGTGGTCTGCAACAATCAGGTAATGAGGATGAAAACAATGCGATATATTGTCTTTATAACTTTCCGATTTTCAAGTTGACTTTTTATGATGAAATATATTACGTTGAATGTCTCCCTATTAGTTTATTAAAACCCTTTCTACGTGTATTGCTAGACTCTATTATACGGGTTCGCAGTTATTCTCTTGTATTGGCCCTTATATAAAAATATTTTTTAATCGATTCTCTTAAAGCTTTTTTTATTTCTCAAAATATTTTGTAATTCACCAAATATATTATTTAATCGGTTAATAAATTTCCCACGTGATATTTCTTATTCTTATTTGAAATTCTCGATTTCTGTTTTATTGCGAACCATAAGATGAATTTTTAAATTTCTGGTATTCGTAACATTCCTATTTTATTGAATATTCACCACTCATTCCCATTTTTGTGCTGACAAGAAAACTTATATGAAAATAATGGAAGAAAGTATAATTGATCGATGAGTCAATCGATAATCAAAATCACCCTCTGCAAAACAATTCAAAATATATCACTAAATACTTTTTTGCCGCCGAGATTCGTTTTATTTGGCAAACGTTTTCAACCTATTAAATAGACCGTCCTCGGGCTACATTTTCTTGGAACATATTTAGTGTTAAATATCGTTTCAAAATACAATACATGAAAAGAGTAACAGAAAACAGAACGACGTTTAAATGTCGAATATAAAGCAAAACTAACTAAAATAAATATTAACAAAATAAAATAGAAAATAAATAACTCAAAATTACACAGAAATATATAGGCCTGCTGTAGTAGTAAATTACGAGATTTTAGCAAACTTATTTTCTACAATGTATTTGCATGCTATTGCTAAGCTGTTCGCATCCCTTGTATTAATGCATTTATCTTTTAATCTGCTTCTGCATATTTCTAGCTTTTTAGCGTTCTTGCTAATGTTGGCCTGTATACACGTAGACCTAATGACCTTTCTCCATTTTATCACACAGCCCTCGGCCTGCGTCATCTTGGATAGTAGCGTGCTATCGGATCCCTTTCTTACCTTTTATTAATTTGGTTAAGTCTACCTCTCAAGTTTCGTGTGGCGACACCGATGTAATCCTCGTCTATCCCAAATGTGTGTTTTCATACGGCACTTTATACACACCTGCCATTTTTTTCTTTTTCTAATCTATCCTTATCGGTTTTTAAAATTCGATACATAGTTCGGGTTCTTTTTACAACCATACTGGACCCTTAACGTTCTGCCATTTCTTTCATAATATTCTTTAGGTCCCTCTTAAAGTAAACGACAGCAATATTTTTTTAAATATCAAAAATAGAAACAATTTCACAAAATGTCGAATAAGTAATGTATATTAAAAACTAAAATTGCATTTAAATTTATAACTGTACAATCGTTGTATTCTTAGTTGACTGAAAAACAATGATAACAATTTAAGATAAAATGTTCATTTTGACTTTTCTTTAGTCTAATCTGCAAACATGACACTCGTAATGTCAGCTTCTTTGTAGAGATAAAGCATCCGGATACCGATTTTATGGCTTACTGATAAGCCGTTTTACTTGAATTCGATGGATATTACATACCTGCCCCACGAAATTCTATATTACGAACATCGCCATTTGAAAAGTCTGAAGTCTAACGTTAAACGAACGGGAATAAATATGTTCAATCACGCGAAGTGTTGGACGACAAAACGTAAAAAAGTGCGTGGTTCTAGAAGTTATAAGTTAATCACGGCCAAGAAAAAAAATTTGTATATCTTTAAAACAAACAGAAAATTACCGCTGTTACAAAACTAGAGACTCCCTTCAATAATACATAAGGCTTTGGCATCCACCAGAAATTCAAAGCTTGGAGACAACAATATCGATAAATTTACAGTCGACTCCCTTATAACACTGTTGATAATTCCGTTTTATATGAATTCCATGTTGTACGAGTCACTTAGATTTTGCAAATACGTGAGCCGTTCACAACACGGCACACGTATTTGTAAAACCTAAGTGACTCGTATAACATGGAATTCATATAAAACAGAATTATCAACAATGTTATACGGGGGGTCGAATGTACTTAATTATTTAATATTTTAGTTTTCTTCACAAGTACAGTACAGTACAGTAATGAATCAATGCTATCATGGTCGGGAGTTCATATAATGAGATGCGTTAATATCACGGGTTTCGTATCCAAATCAACTTTACGATTATAATTTATGGCATTTTTAGTGAGTTCAAGGTAGGCATTGTGATATATATATATATTCCATAAGAGAAACAATCTCGCTGAAGTTGTTGCTACGTCAAAATAGGCAATTGTCTTTTAAGTCGTTAGAGGAATAGGCCTGCTATTTTTTTCTCTTCCGCTCGTAGATGTAATTTCACTATATTTTCGTTGTACGATGTTTAGTCGAACCTCTCGTTTCTCAAAGACTTCCATTTAATGCTTTCAGTTAATTATTTTGGCATAGTAAACTTACTTTCTCTTTCAACAATCACTTAGGAGTATTATAAACATTATCTACCTATTGCAACTCCCTTTTCTAGACAGTTATTATAAACTTTGTGACTTTGTTGCCTATAATGTTTTGTTGTTAACGACAGAAACAAAGCCAAAATATGTTAACGTTGACCTCCATCAGATGCCAGGTATATACAAGTCAATTCGAAAATCTCAGACACAGTTCAAAAATAAATCAAGAATACAAATAAAGAACAATTTCTACCTGGAAACATGTAGCTCAAACACCACCCGAGTGAGGTAATAAAAATCATGTATACATTATGTGTATTCCTTTCTGCGTCGTTTTTTCTACACTTTGGAAGAACTTTGTGTGTTCCAAAGTATAGAAAAACGTCTATACGTTCCTTGCTAAGAATTGTCTGATTTTGTATATCTGGCTTATCTTTAAAGTTTGTCTAAGACTTTTCAATGAAGCAACGTATACAGAATATCAATTTCAATATAGAGTAGAGCGTTGTTTATCCGAATCAATTGGTGACTGGGGTCGTTCGGATAACCGATTATGAACGAAAAATATATTAACCTATTCCGTGTTGAAAATTTTATCCGTTGCGTATCGCTTCGCGTTGAATTTTCGTCGATGTTAAGCCTAACGAAGACTATTGTATCGTTAAAAATTATTTTTTTTTTTAGTCCAAACAAAATAAATATATTGAAAAATATAAAAACAAAATAAAAAATTATACTTCAGAAATTAATTTAGAATCAAAAACGTAAAGTATTTGAGTAGCCCAAGACATAGCCAAAGATTGCAGCGCCACAGCACTGGCGAAAAAATTTAAATTTGCCGACTGGAATTCTTTCGGATAACCGACTTTCGGATAAACGACGCTCTACTGTATTAATAATAAGATAAATCGAGTAGTGTATATATGCATTATATATATACACTACTCGTATACTGTGCGGTATACAAATCCTTTGCAGTAATTAGTAAATGTATCTTCTCAAAGACATTAACATTTCCATTACTTATATTACCACAGAAGGATTCCAGTGTTAAGAAAATACTTTCTCTTTCTCTATTTGATTTGCATTTCTTATTTAATTAATTCTAATTAAATGCGTTTATTGGATATTATGTTGATACAAGTGACGTTACCACAATTGTATTTTTAAATATTCAACAGTTATTTCAAGTAAAGGTGACTCCCTTTATAGACAGTAATCCAAGTGAAAACGTTCTCATAAAAGAGCTCAAGAAAATAGAAGCGTTAAGTAAGCAGGTGCCACACTACCCGCCAGTGGGAATTCTCACAGCTCTCAACCGAAAAGAATGGGCGAGGATAAGAGAACAAATGATCGAAGGTGAGAGCAAAACCAAAAATTTCTTACATATTAAAAATCTTCGATGTTTGACCGAAATTTACGAATACGCAGATGATAATAATAAAGAATCCATTCGGATTATTGAAAATTGTCTGTTTGTGGTGTGCATGGACGAATCGATCGAAGATCTGAGGAAAGACACAAAATCGAAAAGTTATTACTTCGAAGATTTGGCTCACCACATCATTCACGGCAAAAAAAGCGAACATTCCACCGGTAACAGATGGTTCGATAAATTTATTCAGGTATTCATTCATCTAATTTGCCTATTAAAATTATAGATAAATCGATGCCCGATTATTCACTCTTTCCGTTTTGTAGTTTATCGTGACCAAAAATGGTGTAAATGGAATCGTAATCGAACGTTCGGTGTCGGAAGGGATTGAGGTTTTAAAATTCTGTGAAGAATTCCTGGATTTCGTGTAAGATACTTTTATGTCTCGAATTAAATATCAGAAATGGAAGTGAAGTGTTTAATCTATTTGCAGAAAAAATGACACTCAGTTGAGTGTCATACGACATTCAGACGATAATCGTACGGCAGTTAGAAGACTTAAGTGGAATATCAGCGAATCTCTGGCAGAAGAGATCAAAAATGCATCGGCCGTCACAGACGCGTAAGATACTGTAATTTTCACAATCCGCGAATAATAATTTTTATTGACGCGTAGAAAACGTCAGTTCACGCTTTGCCTGTCTTTAGAATCGTAACTAATTACACATTATGATACTAAAAACACCTAAAAGTAAAATAACACGTAAAATCACTAAATATGTGGTGTTCATGCTTGAAAAGGCTTTTATTTACAGAAAATTGTCATAATTAGATATCGATCCACCATTTAGTAGATTCTTTTGATTCTTTCAATTGAAAAATGTTAAGGAAACTATTATTATTTCTCGAGAGAAATTAATCACTAAGAAACATTCCAGCAATCTCGGCTCGATCTTCTGTTTTTTTTTTTTTTTTTTAAATTTATTTGAAAAATGCAACTTCTAAAAATGTTCATTATTTCATTTTATATTATTATTTTATAAATTATTTGTCACTCGAACACAGTGTTATTTGATCTTTAAAATAATTATGATTTAAGGCAGGGGTCGGCAACCTTTTGAGTCGGAAGCGAATCACGGGGGAGAGGTGCGATGAAAATCGAGTACAAGTGGCTGAGAGATAGAATCGGTGCCGAATCCTCGTTAATCGATTCAGAACGATTTTTAATTTTTTTTTTTTTTTTATAAAATAAATAATATTTGCGTATGGAACTAAAGAGCCGCAGCTTCACATCCAAAGAGCCGCATGTGGCTCGCGAGCCGCAGGTTGCCGACCCCTGGTTTAAGGCACGAACATATATTCACTATAGACGTTGTTTTCAGAATGATCGACACGTTAGAACTTAATGTTTTTAGTTTCATCGATTACGGCAAAAGATTTTCGGAGAAACACGAAATCAATCCGGATGTGTTCATTCTGTTGTCTTTGCAGTTGACGTACTTCAGGTTTGTTTAAACGACGATTCTCTTTCTTTTAATGCCTATTTCAGGGTAATTAAAACAACGATAGTGTTATTTTCTCGTCAGAACGCATGGCAAAGTGACAGCCACTTACGAAAGTGGAGCTTTGAGAAAATTCAGATTCGGTCGCGTCGACAACATCCGCGCTTCCAGCCAAGAGGCTTTGGAATTCTCAAAGTCCGTGTTAGATCCTTCCCTGAGTCAGGTCAGTCGAATGCAAATTTTTCAATTATTACAACATCTTATTCACATTGACTCCTTCGATATTTTTAGGCTGAAAAATGGGAGAAATTTCAAAAAGCCGTGAAGAAGCAAACCGAAATTCTTCTCTACGTAAGTAGTAAAAAACCGTAAATGAATCATCAGAATTATTTATGAATTTTATAATTTGATAATATATGTTATTGTTCAGACAATCAACGGAGAAGGACCGGATAACCATCTTTTGTGCCTAAAGGAAATGGCTGCTCTACACGGCTTAGAAGAACCGGCACTTTATCAAACAGATTATTACAAAGAGTTCTTGAATTTCCGCTTATCCACCAGTCAGGTCGGGCATCTTTCTATGTATTGTTTAAGTGTTAGCGATTGGAAGAGAATTAATTGATTGATTTTTTGTAGCTTCCCACGACCTACGACATCGTAGTTGGATACGGTCCCGTAGTGCCCGACGGATACGGATGTTCGTACAATCCACAGGAGAATCGTATCGTCTTTTGCATTTCGTCGTTCAAAAACGCCTCGACGGACTCGGAAAAATTTGCACAAAATTTGCACGTGAGCTTGATTGAGTTGAAGGAGCTTTGTGAGAGTGGGAAGACTGCAGTTTCCACCAGGTTGTTCTTTGTTGTTTAACAATTCGTTGGTGTTTTAGACAATTGAATTACTCACGTGATGTTCTTTTAGCTCACGGACAAAAAGTGCAGTTAAAGCCGAAGCAAAGTAAATGAATGAAGAAAATTTTAAACTATTCGAATGTTTTTGGTCTAAGCTGAAGAAATTCGGCTTCAAACTTTTAGAACTGAGCAAAATTGTTTAATAATGATTAAAATTGATTTAATAAAAATCACGAAAACTTGCGTTCTGCGTTTAATTCATTTAGTCACAGTGATTCAATATACATATGGAATTTCGACAATGTTTATCGTTTACTTTGTGAGAATTCGGACTTCAACATAAACAATTCAACCTCGTAACATCAACTTCGTCAACTATCTGTCAATTTTTACACCTGGTACTATATCTTCTTTTAACTTCTCAAAGTTGATAAAGACGCTTTCTCCTCAGTTCCTGACCTGATCTTCCGATTTTGTCGCTTAATATAACAGGTAGCTACCAACTATAGGCATCAGCGATAGTTGCTAGCTTGCCGTTTGGGATTGACATTTTCAACGAAAATCGCCCGAGAATAAAATCAGCAGTAAATTCACACCATGAGGTCAGGTAATCAAAATGCAGTGATGTTGGAGCACAATATTGCGTTGCCAGGAAACCCCATATTCAACAATTCCGATTATTCGCCGCTTCATCTAAGGAAAAGTGCGACTCGTCTGACCAAAGAATTTTCTAAAGCAACACTCATCAATTGCCATTCTCTCCAAAATCCAGAAAGCAAACAGTGCGTTTTTGCGGGTCTTCGGGTTGCAGCTTTTGCCAAATGTGAATTTTATAGGAATATTATTTTAAAATAGACGAAGAGATTTACGTACGGTCGGCCAAGGGATAGACGTATGTCGACCACGTGTTGAGGAATATTGTGAACTGGAAACTCAGGAAAAAACTGTAACAGCAGCTTCATCGACAATATTTTTAACAATCGGTTTCTGTCCTCTTCTAAACAGCACATCCAAGTCTCCAGTCTCTTCAAATTTCGAAATCGTTTCTTTGACGTAGATCAGGGGTGTCCAAAACATGGCGCATTGGACGACTACAAGTGGCGCTTCAGTCGGTTTTGAGCAACATTGCTAGATTTGGCTTCTTTGCGATTAAGAATATTACATAGAAAAATTAATTTTTTATATTCTTGGCAAGTTCATTTGTTGCACAATTCGTTGCAATCTACTTTTCAGATAAAATGATTGTTCTCCACATAGTAAATTACAGTGTATGCATGCATTTTGAGTCTTGCAATCTTTATTTCCGATCAGTTTACAGGCGTGTAAATGGCAGAAAACATTTGTTGCGATTAAAGTTATTGCCGGAAAATCACGAATGGTTTTTTTAATTTTATCATCAAATTTCGGATTATTAAAAGGTTTTGTAGGTGTTGGCTTCTTTTGGGATACTTTTTAAAAAATTGTTGTTTACAAACACTAAAAACATCTGGCAACTCTAGCCCTTAGTGAGCCCTGGTGTAAGACGGTATAAAAAAGTGTTCGAGTTATATGGCGCATCTGAACTCGTCTGTCAAAAAATTGGCGCATGGTATGCAAAAGGTTGGCCCCCCTGACCCTGTAGATCCTTCTAGCAATTCTAGCAATTCTTCTTTCACTTCTGTTAAGAGCGGTTCGGAAAAATTCGAATTGAAACAATAAACTTACCATTAAATTGAATAACAACCTCAGCTTTTTTTAAACATTTAATAAAACACTTAACACCTTAATGCTGAGAAATATTTATTAAAACACCAACGTTTTCAGCCTAATGAAATAGGCCATCTTCAGGTGAACTGACATTCGAACGTATTTGAAAATTGTATTAAATGGAACGTTCGATCATTATAAATTCAAAATTAAAACGAAAAATAAATTAACCAATCAATATTCAAAATAACTATAATAAATAGATCGACGCCATATTAATATAAATAATAAAATAAGGCGATATAAAAATAGAAACAAAATAAAAATAGAAACAAAAATAAATAAACCTAAAAGATTAAATGCAGAAAAGGATTAAATTCATAAAATATATACATAAAAAAGCATCACATTATAAAGGGCAGATAGGAACTAAGAATTTGTGTGTTTTAACTTTTCTTTTACAAGGAACTTCCATGCCGATGGTAAATCATCAGCATCCCTCGCATTGATACAGCCGTCTCTTAATTTACTCTTATAAATTACAATTTTTTCATGTTGCAACGCCAAAGATGGGGACCTCAACGTCTTCAGAATAGATGCTTCATTCCATTTAACTACCGAAGCCTCCACTTGTGCCATATTTGACAAAACAGTAGTACAATGTCCTTTGCTAATGTCATATCTGTGTTCTTTAAGCCTAATAGCCAAATTTCGTCTTGTGACTCCAATATAGTCCTTCATAATTCCTAGCTGTTGGTTTTCAAATGGAATTTTATACACGCCCGCTGTTTCTTCTTTCTTAAGTTTGTCTTTGTCGTTTCTAAGAATACTGTATAAATTAGAACCTCTTTTGTAAACAATTTTGGAGCATTTTTTTTTTATCTGAAACTCGTTTAATGATGTCCTTAAAGTTTTTATTATACGTAAATTTTGTGATCTTATATTGATCTGTTCCCGTTCTTAGCCATAGTGCAATAGTGTTTTTACCTTATTTTTCACGTGTAGTATAGAAATTTGTAATAAGATACGTAATGCGGTTATAATAAAATATTGCGCGATTATTTTTGTATAATTAAAATTAATATGTATTTATTTTTTAGAAGATACGAGGGAAGCGTCACATGCACCGCTTGCAATGACGGCACGCCAACTGAGTTTTATCACTTTCTCGCTCAATTTTCGAGTGCCGATCTTAAAATTAAGATTTATTACTCATCGCTGTGCGAAATTTCCTAATTTACTATAATGTGTGAATCTTCATTAAATGACCACAAGAGTAAAACTCAATATCGGACATTTAAAGCAAATTACTTATGAATTCTAATAAATTTTAGTCATTGCGACGTGGCAGTTTAGCAAATAAATGTCATTTAGAGTCGTCTTTCAAAACGACAATATTCTGTGCGATTATTAAGTTTTACGTATCGAAGCATTCTTTATATTTAAAAGACCAGAAAATATGGAATGTAGAGAACTTCCCATCTGAAATGTTTAAATGAGGGATTCAATTAAGGCATGGATATTAAAATTACAAAAACAATACTTTATTTTCTTAAAAATATTACCTTTATTGGAAACTTCTTTGTAATCTTAAAGTAATTTCTGCATGACAGACACAGGGATTCTTTACCGAATCTTTTCATAAAATTCAAAATCTAAAAAGTTATTAACTTTTATTATTGTATTATAATTATACGAAAACTTAATAAACGAATTACTACGTAAAGATATGTTTTAAATATATAAAACCTTTAATTTCTGTTCCAATTCCAGATCGCAGTCAGCAAATCTTCCGATGTCTTGAAAAGACGTTTGCATCTNATTTTTATATATGTGCATTATATATATATATATATATATAATGCATTTAAAAAACCTGCAAATGTAGTAAATCTTAGAATTTTCGATAAAAAATACATTACAGCAGACGTGAAGGCAGATAACAGAAATCCGATTAAAATACAGGCAAAAGTAACAAGAGCGCACATTAATAAATAGAAAATTTTCAATGCAAAATTCACTTCAGAAAAGTTGAAAATGAAGTTGAAAATAAAGTTGAAGTACATTAGACTCGTTTCCATTAACAAATTACCGTACAATATTGTGAATACGTAATTGAACGGTCCGTTGAGTTGATTGGTAAAATTCCAAAGTTCGTCGTGTTGCTCTGAAATTTCATTCACTTGAGATTTCAAATTTGGAATGTTCTTTCTCGTCAGATACAAATTCTCTGAGAGTTTTTCGAATGCTTTTATTACAATAAAGTGAAACAGAACGAGGAACGTAAAGATGTGTACTAAAGCACCAACGAGTAAAGTGCCACAGATACCAACTTCGATGCAGCAGATAAATGGTTCGTATTTAAAGGTCTTTCGTTTTTCTAAAGCAGGATAAAATAAAAAAGCTATTATACATTCAATGAATATCGTAAAAGTAACAGTTATAATTTCTGTGAGAGTATCGATAGTAGCATATAATTGATGTTTAGGAAAACGATACGACTTTTTTAATTGTATTTTCAGATTCAGTTTAACTCTTTTGACAATACTGAATATTGCAGCCACGGCCAGAGTAGTACTCGCAGCAGTTACTCTGACGAATATGTCATACTCGAATATCGAGAACCAGGAAAAGCAAGGAGTTACATCCGATACGTAAGGAAGTGTCATACATATAAGAAGAAAGGAATGGATCCAATACAGGCATTCAATAAACGAGATGTAAAAGTTGAAAGGTACGCGGAAGCCACCGTCAGTGTTTAAAATACAGCAGCAAGGATTAAAAAATTCCAAGCCGTAGAACCTCGAAATTGCAGTAAATGAAGAGACAAAACATTGCAGACATATTTCGTCCTTCTGATTATCAACCGCGGGACTTTCGCTCGAAATGATTCTTATCATAATTTTTAAGTAACTAAATTAAGTGTTAGTAAAATAAAATATATAATTTAATTTAAAACAATCTCTCGCAGTTGTTCTCTTCTTACCTAAAACTGAATCAAACACTTTTGTGTAGAAAGCAGACTGAATGCCAGCTTTGAATTAAAAGTTTACTCCGTAGTCACTTATGTAACATAAGTGATATTAATATAATAATTGATTAGTTATTGATTAGTTATATAAATGAGATTTTTATTGTTCTTTAAGTGAAATGGAATTTTAATGTGATAAGTTTCAGAAAGTTTGTGGAATGTTAATTTTTGAACAAACACGACAGTTAATATTTATAGAAACTTTCTTATTAAGTTAATTGCATTCTGCAATTTATCGAATATGTCTTTCTGTACTTTCTAGGCACATAGGCACTTAACGTGATGTTTATTTTAAACGTGAAAGTAAAGTGAAGGCGAGCGAAGAGGGGAGGTTTCCAGCCTGACACGTGTGTGACCGAGATACTGTATCTCTTATTCGAACCTGTTTTTTTATTTATTTTCTCTCCCGTGAATTATAAAACCGATCACACGCGACGAATCTCCGTCCATTGTACGCGAGTGCCCATTGATATTATAAATAATGATAATTGTATCTTATACAAAAGAAACCGTAACGAATTATTTAGCTATTCCGGCAACATGTGGTAGCTCCATCTATTGAAATAATTGAAGTCAAAATTTTACGGTTTTTGGTTTTAATCGTAAATATTCTCGCGGTGCAGCTAAGCTGTTCCTGCTGTTCTGAAAAAACACTTTTATCAGCAAAACTCTTTTATCTTTAAGGGCTTTATTAACGATAACAAAGACACACGGAATGATTTTCCGGCTTTCAATGCAGGTTTTTTTTTAAAAAGTTTGCCTACATTGTATAAAATTTCGTGAAAAATGCGATCTAGCGATGAAATTTTTTATTTTGGAAATCTATTCTTCATTATCTATATCAGCGTTTCTGAAACTTTTTGCCCACAAGACCCAATATACTTGTATGTTATGATAAAGCTATTCAAATGCTTATAATATAAAATTTTAAAATAAACCTAGTAAACTGAAGTTACTGTATTATATAAGAAAATAAAATCATGCATTATTGATAATTGCTACTTGTAAAATGCAACATTAAGTACATTTTTGTTAAGAGCTTTTCAGGTTAATTTCAAATTGAAAGGAATAAATTTAATCAATTTCAGGGTTTATTAATCTATTCTTCTTCGGTCTTAGAAGATAATTCATTAATGCATGTGTTACAACTACATCTGTGGTAGGTGATACCATTCCGCGATCCATTAAAATTTGCTAGCGACTCACAGTTTCAGAAATGCTGGTCTATATAACAAATATAGACCAGCATTTCTGATACTCTGAAACCAAATATATACCATTAACAAACACTGACGAGCAAAACGGGCTCTAGAGAAGTCTCAATAGGGCCAGTTTAATTGTAATCGTACTGTATTTTGTCCACTTAATTTTGGCTCTTTTTTTGCTTTCGGGTAAATGAGAAAATATTGAGGTCGAAAAAATGAAATGATTTAAGCTAGAGATTTAATTTATTACAATGTTATATTCATAAAAATGATGGTAAATCTTATATTATTCGGAGACAAGTAAATTTTATCAGCGAGTTTTAAGGCGACAGCGTGCTGTAAAGAAATAAAAGAAAGAACACGTATTTATTTATTTACATTAGAATTTATATTCTGAAAATTTTATTTTCACATTAATTCCTGTCAAACGTTCATTGTGGGTTCCACGTGCCCAAAACAAAGCTGTGGAGTGGTAAGGGATGGCGACCGACGTATCTCTTTTGCCACATCTGATAAATTGCGTGGTGTTTTTCAACCCGTTCAGATTCTATACCAGGTCACACAGAAAGAAAGGACGTAACCTTGCCCACGCGGCCAACCTACCCTGCAAGTTGAAACGAAGCAATAAACAAAAATCTATTTATATATATATATATGAACGGTAAATAAAAACTATTAACATACAGCCGAAAATACAGTATGCGTTAACAATGCATTATTGTGCAACAACCGATTCGCATTGTTTCAACTTTAACAAAAGTCTTCAGCAAATTAACAAGTCGCAATTCGAGCTCCTTCTAAAAAAACGAAGAGAAAATGGCTGAAATGAAAGAAACTGTGAGTCTAAGTTGACAATTAACATAAAGAAGATATATTTTGTATCGTAATTGACGATGCATTCAATAAGCACTGCGCAATTACATTTCATAAATCATTTTCCTTTGTAGGAATTGCCAAAGCCGTCGGTTCCCGAGCTCTCCGTCACTCTAAACAGATTCTTGGAAGGAATCAAAGCAATTGTCCCCGGTGACAAATACCAGGAAGCTCGCAGATTGGTCGAAGATTATAAAACGTTAGGCGAAATGCAAAAGCTGCAGGGGTTCTTGAAGGAATATGCAGAACGCCATGAAAATTACGTAAGTGTTTTTTTTTTCCTGACAAGCGGTGACACTACAAATAACAATATACCTCTTCTTAGATAACCGAGTTCTGGCTGAACGATATGTATTTAAAAAATCCTTTGCCACTGCCCATCAACTCCAATCCATTCTTCCTGCTGCCGAAGCGAGAATTCAAAACGGATGACGACAGATTTCGGTAATGGTTTCTCGTAAAATAATTATTTATAAGCAATTTGTCCTATTGATGACTGTGGATTATTTCTCAGATTTATAGCGAGATTTATCATCTTTTCGCTTATGTTCAAGCAAAGAGTTGACAGGTAAACAGACATTAATTACAAACAAGATTTCCAAGAAGGAAACTGTGACTAAGCTGACTCATTTGTTGCAGCGGTGAATTAAAACAAGAATTTTCTGGGGGACAAAAGAAAGGGAATGCGCTTTCCATGGCCACGTATCATCACTTCTTCACGGCTTACAGAAGACCAGGCGCGACTAAAGACCAGCACGTTTTTAGTGAAGGCGGCAGCAGACATATCATTGTCATCTGCAACAATCAGGTAAGACTTTTGCTGAAGAAAGAAAACAATTTCACTTATCTTCTTTATAACTTTCCGATATCTCGTGCTTGTAATTTCCTTACGGCATACATTATATTATATCTTTTTTCATATGCATATACTACTATTGTTTGTTACATTTATTATTTCTATATAAAAACGTTGACTGTATTAATCGGTATCGATAGATATGATTTAATTACAAACGACTAATTTGGTATATTACATGATAACTTTCGACACCTACTTTATATACAGTAATTGCAATTTCTACTAGAGCTAGACATTATTAATAGATGCGTGCGAGGCGAAACAAGCTGGGACTTTTTCAGATTTTCTTCGTGTTTCTAATACGTAAATAGCGCTCTTATCCCGGATACAATTCCATTTGGGAACATTGCCTATCATATTAATTCAATGCAACCCCTTTACATTTTAAAACAACCACTGCTAATGAGATATTAAGTGATTAAAAGTTAGTGGTTATAATCTTGCACACTTTTGTAAACTAACGAAAACTACTAAATTTTGAATGATCTTTATTGGAAGATGGCAGAAAATATGATTTCGAAGTGATACTATGCTTCAATACAACACTTAGTAACATATAAATAAAAGAATTTAGTTGGATAAGACTCACTCAGATTATTTCGGTCTCTGACTATATTTCTCATGTAGTGGAACATAAAAATACTCGTATAAGATTTCAGAAATTCAATTGTTATAATCTTTCGCGATAGGAAATGTGTCATTTTGTATAAATTCCTCGTGTCTGTTTACATGCAAAGAAAACAATCTCATCGAAGTGTGGAAGGCGAGACGCAAGAACAGGCAACACTATTATGAGTCGAACACTGCTATTCTTGTGTTTTGCACTCGTAGACACAGATTCAGCAATATTTTCAAAACGTTCTTTGTTAGTCAAATCTTTGGTTCTTCAGTGCCTTTTAACGGTTATTTATTTAAAGTAAATTTATACAATTCAGTTTGTCCCAAAATATTCGCGTAGGAATGTTAAAATTATTATTTACCTGTCACAATACAGTTTTCATGACAGTTATTGTAACTGTCGAAATTTCATGCTAATTTGTAACGATTGTAAAAAAACATTATAAAGAAACATTTTCTACTGTCGAGCAATTTTAAACCCGAGGTATATACAGAGGGATTGGTAAGGTCTTAGACATTCTTTAAAGATAAATCAAAAACTCAAAGAAAGAAGCCATTTCTAGTTGCGAACATATTTGTACTTGTACTTGCGAACATAGCCGCAAACACTCGGTTGTTCTAATAAACATGACGTATTCCTTTCTCATTCTTTCCATACTTTGAATAATTCTGGTGGTGTTCACGGCTTGTGTTCTTAGGTAAAATTACATTGTTGTTCTACTGACTTAACTTTAAAGTTTGTATAAGACGTTTGAATCACGCTGCATATATAACAATTTCAATAAGACACATCGTGTAGCGTATATATCTACTGTAGTTAATACGTGCCGTATTAAGCTTATTTGTAGTAGATTACAAAATGTTTATTCTCGAAGACGTTAAAATTTCCATTACTTACGTTACCACAGAACCATTCCAGTGTTAAAAAAAGTACTTTCTCCGTTTTATTGGCATTTCCTACTTGACTAATTCTGATTACACGCGTTTATTAGATACACGCTGATGTCTTCACAATTGTACTTTTAAATATTTAACAGTTATTTGTGTTGATGATACCCGGTAGAATAGCTCTTCCGAGTGAAAAAGCGCTGGTAGAAAAACTTCAGAAAATCGATACTCTCAGCAAGCTGGAGCCACACTATCCACCAGTGGGAATTCTCACGGCTCTCAATCGAAAAGAATGGGCGAGGATAAGAGAACGAATGATCGAAAGTGAGAGAGCAAAGCCAAAATTTTTTTACGTATTAAAAATTCTCGATCGTTAACAGAAATTTACGATTACGCAGACGAAAATAATAAAGAGTCCATTCGGAATATTGAAAATTGTCTGTTTGTGGTGTGCATGGACGAATCGAACGAAGGGGCGAGGAAACAAACGACATCGAAGAGCTTTTCGGACGGGAGTTTGGAAGAGATGGCCCACCACATTCTTCACGGAAATAAAACAGAACATTCCACCGTTAACAGATGGTTCGATAAATTTATTCAGGTAAAATTTATTCGTTGCAAACAACAAACACAATAGGTCGTTAATCTTCAATGGTACGGTTTCATTTTAAAATACTTTCGAAAGACTACTTTCGTGTTCAACATAATTTGATATGAATAAATATATCTACCTGTAGATTCATTTAAAAATAAACTGTGGTTTTTAAATACACAGAAGTAATCGCAGAATGCGATTTATATTTTGAGCGTTTTTGTTTCGTATAGTTGAGTTTTCTTTATATTTTAACCGAAGTGTATCGAGCAGTTTCTATACGAATACAAAAGAACGAATACTTTCTTTTATATTAATTTCACCTGATTGTCATTTTGATTTTACATATATCTGAATTTCGATTTAATTAAAAAAACCATAATAAATTAACTACATTCTTCTAATTTGCCTATAACATGGTACATAAATCGATGCCCAATGTTTTACTCTCACCTTTCTGTAGTTTATCGTGACTAAAAATGGTGTGAACGGAATCGTGATCGAACATTCGGTGTCGGAAAGGATTACAGTTTTAAGATTCTGCGAAGAATTTCTGGATTTTGTGTAAGATTGTTTTATCTTTTCAATTAAATACAGCATTAGGAATGGAAGTAAAGTGTTTATAATTTTTGCAGGAAAAAAGATCAGCCGAAGAGATCGTCCGACGATCAACTGACAGTCAGAAGACTCATCTGGGACCTCGACGAAACTATCAAAGAAGAGATCAAAGATGCATCGGCCGTCACAGACGAGTAAGATACTGTAATTTTGACAATCCGCGAATAATTTTTATTGACGCGTAGAAAACAAGAAGAAACGTTAACTCATTTGTTGCCTATGTTCGGTATTATAACTGCTTAGAAGTTATGATATGTATAACCTCGTAAAATCTTTATGTATATGGTGTTCGTGTTCGAAAAGACTTTGATTTACGGGCAATTGCCATAATTAGATATTGATTCACAATTTAGTATGTTCTTTTAATTCTATCAATCGAGAAATGTTGCGGAATCTATTATTATTTCTCAACAGAAATTTCATTGTAATTAAAAACAAAAGTCGTGGCAATTTCGTCTCAATTCGTCACGCACATTTTAAAACAAAGCTTCCCGTACCCTGTCAGCATTCACAACAAATAACATTTTTGCCCATTGTTTAGTGCTGGAGATAGTCCTATTATTCTTAATATCATTTTTAGTATTCCCAAAAATTATGGTTAGGATTTGCCCCTAGTTTCGTTTAATACTTAAAGAGCATTATTGTCTGAAGGAGGTATAAATATTGTCTGTAAACATTATTTTCAGATTAATCGATACGCTGGAACTCAATGTTTTTATATTTGACAAATACGGCAAAGGTTTTCCGAAGAAACAAAAAATCAGTCCCGATGTGTTCATTCAGTTGTGTTTGCAGTTGACATACTTCAGGTTTGTTTAAACGACGATTTTCTTTTTTTTTAATGCCTGTTTGAGTGTAATTAAATCAACAATGCTGTTGTTTTCTCATCAGAATGTATAACACAATGACGGCCACTTACGAAAGTGCCGCTTTGAGGAAATTCAGATTCGGTCGCATCGACAACATCCGCGCTTCCAGCCAAGAGGCTTTGGATTCTTCAAAGTCCATGTTAGATCCTTCTCTGAGTCAGGTCAGTCGAATGAAAATTTTTCAATTATTACAAATCCTTATTCATACTGACTTATTATATATTTTTAGGCTGAAAAATGGGAGAAATTTCAAAAAGCCGTGAAAAAGCAAACCGAAATTCTTCTCTACGTAAGTAGTAAAGAACCGTAAATGAATCATCAGAATTACTTATCAATTTTATAATTTGATAATACTTGTTATTGTTCAGACAATCAACGGAGAAGGACCGGATAACCATCTTCTGTGCTTAAAGGAAATGGCTGCTCTGCACGGCTTAGAAGAACCGGCACTTTATCAAACAAATTATTACAAAGAGTTCCTGGATTTCCGCTTATCCACCAGTCAGGTCGGGCATCTTTCTATGTATTGTTTAACTGTTAGCGAGTGGAAGAAAATTAATTAATTGGCTTTTTGTAGCTTCCCACGATCTACGACATCGTAGTTGGATACGGTCCCGTAGTGCCCGACGGATACGGTTGTTCGTACAATCCACAGGAGAATCGTATCGTCTTTTGCATTTCGTCGTTCAAAAACGACCCCTCGACGGACTCGGAAAAGTTTGCACGGAATCTGCAAGTGAGCTTGATGGATTTGAAGGAGCTTTCTGAGAGTGGAAAGACTGCAGTTTCCACCAGGTTGTTCTTTGTTTTTTAACAATTCGTTGGTGTTTTAGACAATTGAATTACTCACGTGATGTTGTTTTAGCTCACCGACAAAGGCTGCAGTTAAAGCTGAAGCAAAGAAATAAAATAAATAAAAATATTAGTCCGAATCGGCCAATTGCACGTTTTCGGTTTAAGCTGCAGAATTTCGAGTTCAAAATTGTTTAATAATGGTAAAAATTGATTTAATAAATTTTACGAAATCGTTTTTTGTTCGTCTTTAACTTGTCGGAATTTATAAAATATGTAGTTTTTCAATTACATTCTGAATAAATTAGATTCGGGGTTGTCATAAAGACGTAACACAAAAAAATATTGATAACAGTATAACAAACTTTAATTCAATGTGTAGACCAGTGTTTCCCAAAGTGGGGCGTACGCCCCACAGGGGGGCAATTTGATGGTTGGAGGGGGGCAATTTGAGAATTGACATGACAATTTCTTCCCTTCGCTATGAGCTTTTTTAATGCAACGCTTTAGGTNAATGACGGCCACTTACGAAAGTGCCGCTTTGAGGAAATTCAGATTCGGTCGCATCGACAACATCCGCGCTTCCAGCCAACAGGCGTTGGATTTCTCAAAGTCCATGTTAGATCCTTCTGTGAGTCAGGTCAGTCGAATGAAAATTTTTCAATTATTACAAATCCTTATTCATACTGATTTTATTATATATTTTTAGGCTGAAAAATTGGATAAATTTCAAAAAGCCGTGAAAAAGCAAACCGAAATTCTTCTCTACGTAAGTAGTAAAAAACCGTAAATGAATCATCAGAATTACTTATCAATTTTATAATTTCATAATACTTGTTATTGTTCAGACAATCAACGGAGAAGGACCGGATAACCATCTTCTGTGCTTAAAGGAAATGGCTGCTCTACACGGCTTAGAAGAACCGGCGCTTTATCAAACAAATTATTACAAAGAGTTCCTGGATTTCCGCTTATCCACCAGTCAGGTCGGGCATCTTTCTATGTATTGTTTAACTGTTAGCGAGTGGAAGAAAATTAATTAATTGGCTTTTTGTAGCTTCCCACGACCTACGACATCGTAGTTGGATACGGTCCCGTAGTGCCCGACGGATACGGTTGTTCGTACAATCCACAGGAGAATCGTATCGTCTTTTGCATTTCGTCGTTCAAAAACGACCCCTCGACGGACTCGGAAAAGTTTGCACGGAATCTGCAAGTGAGCTTGATGGATTTGAAGGAGCTTTCTGAGAGTGGAAAGACTGCAGTTTCCACCAGGTTGTTCTTTGTTTTTTAACAATTCGTTGGTGTTTTAGACAATTGAATTACTCACGTGATGTTGTTTTAGCTCACCGACAAAGGCTGCAGTTAAAGCTGAAGCAAAGAAATAAAATAAATAAAAATATTAGTCCGAATCGGCCAATTGCACGTTTTCGGTTTAAGCTGCAGAATTTCGAGTTCAAAATTGTTTAATAATGGTAAAAATTGATTTAATAAATTTTACGAAATCGTTTTTTGTTCGTCTTTAACTTGTCGGAATTTATAAAATATGTAGTTTTTCAATTACATTCTGAATAAATTAGATTCGGGGTTGTCATAAAGACGTAACACAAAAAAATATTGATAACAGTATAACAAACTTTAATTCAATGTGTAGACCATTGACATACGAANATAAATTAGATTCGGGGTTGTCATAAAGACGTAACACAAAAAAATATTGATAACAGTATAACAAACTTTAATTCAATGTGTAGACGTTTGACATACGAAAAATTAATATGCGTTTTTTATATTAGCGATTTTCCTTAATATTAAAAAGTTGAGCAACTTCTTTTTGAAAACTTTTTCCGCCTTCCGGGCACTAAGTGGGCTTCTTTTAGCAGGCCTATTATAGGTTCGCCTAGGACTGCAATGGATCCGACAGGGTGGCGAGATACGGAACCCGTCGTATCCTGAAAACTTGCTGAAAAGTTTTCGATTTGTCCGGATCGATCCCCGGGTCCCCAACGTGACCGGTGACTTAAAGAAGTGTCTGATATTATACTCGCAGTTAGTGTCAGTTTCAGAATGAACAGGTAGCGTACGTTTCGAGTAACACGTAGAAGTAGTGTACAGTACTTATTTGGTTGATTTTAACCTACCACACCAGATTCTATTGGCTCTTTCTCATCGCTGCCTGTTTCGTTTCTTATATCATTTTCCCTCTATCTAGGGGTTTAGCATTAACGAGTTTTAGAAATCATAGTACGATTATAAAATCATGTAATGCAAAACGTTGAAACACTTGTCATGTTTTAAGCTCACGTAGGAAAACATGATTTATAAAAGAAATGATGGGTCTTTCGAAGAAATTGTATTCAAAGAAGCGTATCAACAAATTTATTAAATAACTTCGTAGATAATTTATATTCTTCACATCTATTTATGGAAAAGATTGAAGAAAATAAGTGAAACAATTTACAGAATAGTTGAAAGTTTTAAATTAAGCGAAGAAATGTCTTGTGTATCGAATCCAGCCTGCATTGACGGATTTCTTTCCGCCGGTTTGTCGTACTGAATTAAAGCAGTGAAATGTCTTACCAAAACTAAACTTTTTATCGCTTTCGATCATGTACAGTAGAAACTCGATTTCATGCAGTTAACGATATTCGTCTTATTCTTCCTTGCCTAAATTCGAACTCCTCCTCTCTTCACTAACTCTACCGTCTTCCCACCTCTACTCTCTTTCTTTAACTCTCTCTTCGTCTTTTTTTACTTCTCTTTCCTTTCTGACAACCCTTTGTCTACCCTTTTTTATTACTTTTACGACTGCTCGCGAAGAGGTTGGATATGGGCCGACACATTACAGTCGGGGGAGGAAAAGAATAGGCCCAATATCATTACATGGTGAAAGACAAGTCTCGGAGTTAGGAGACGGGTTTCCAAAAAGTTGTAAAGACTAAGAGATAATTAATTGAAATAAAACAAGACACGGATTAATCTGAACTCTGAATTGTGACATCCTAAGGATGTCACAATTACCTATAGGTAAAAGGAGGTAGGAATTACAATTACAATAGGTAAAAGGAGATCAGAAATAATAATTAATTAAATAATTACGTTATATTTTAATTTAATGTCGAAAAATCAGACAGGAAGTGGACAAAACCCACACACATCCTATTTCTTCCGATTTCTCAATAGATAAGGCCGATCGAATATCTCTCCAAGAAATGAAAGTGAAATTATTATTGAAAGAGAAAGTAAGTTTGCTGTATCTAAATAATTGCCTGAAAGCATTAAATGGAAGTCTTTAAACGAGAGGTTCGACTAAACAACGCACAACGAAAATATAGGTGAAAATACATCTACGAGCGGAAGAGAATAAAATAGCAGGCCTATTCCTCTTACTTAATATATATAGGCTATATCTCAGAAGAAACATAATGCCCAACTTTAAACAAACTAAAAATTCTATAGATTATGATCGTAAAATTGATTGAGATATGAAACTGTTAATGCTAGACTTTGCTTTACACAAGAAAAGACACCTTCAGTTATAATCCAACAACCTTTACTTGTAACTTATTAAACAAAAAATACAAACAGACTTGCCTATCCTTAAAGTACACCTCTAGTCACTTGTCTTTAACTCCGGCACCGACCGACAACGACTCTGGCCCCCTCGCGCTCTCTCTGGATTTTACTTTCTAAATTAAATACTCCCACACTCTCCCTTAAGTCAAAATTAAGGACACGGGTCCGTCCTTTGATAGGACGGACCCGTGTATTGAATCCTTTGATAGGACGGACCCGTGTTTAATGAACCTTATTTGCCTACATCTGTTTAGGTAATGACGCTATACAAACACTTTGTTTGGTTTGTTCTTAATTTCATTTTCAGATCGAACAGGTACATTCTGAATAAGACGTATTACAAATTAGTTAGCGGCCGGACGACCGAGCGATCTAAGTTGACAGCCTGTCGTCCTGGGGGACACCGGATCGAATCCAGACAAAGTCCAAAAATTTCGCTGAGATGGATATCTTACATCACTTCTAGGAGTATTACGATAATTCAACAGGGCTGAGTAAATATCGATTCCATCAGTTGGAACCACTACGAAAATATAAACTAATTTAAAATAAATGCTCTTAGTTATAAAACATACATTCAGGGATACTAAATTTGTATTCTTTTTCGTCACAACGCGCTACCAGACTACACGTCAAACACGTCTAGTGTAGTGTTTACAAATGTTTGACTTTGAGAATAGCTTTTTTCGACTTTCGCAGTAAGTTTACATGAACACCTTAGGAAAGGTCGGGTATCTAGCAGAATGTGTACTGGCTAACGCAAGTACTCAAACATATCGCGAAATGTTTGGTCATTTGTATTATTTATATAGGAGGGGCCCAGAAAAACGATTCAAAACAGAAACTTCTATTCAGTGTAGAATTACGAAATTTGGTGAGCTCAAACACAACGTTTAATAGAAGATAAATAAATTTCAACCGATTCAAATCCACGCATAAAACGATAATTAATGTAAATGTTAATTACTTAGTTTTAATATTCATGATACCTAAATGACCTATTAATTTCATCTCTTGTATATTAATGGTAAATTACTATCTACCTCTAATTAGTAGTGTCTTGCCCCTGTACAGTACGTCATGTTTTTTTCTGTTAGCAATAGAGTAGCAGTCATCTCTCTAACTTCTTTCGGGGAAAATTTTCAATTGAAATAACATGACTTCTGGTTAGCATCGAACGTTCGTATATCCGGACTTCCAGTCACTAATATCTCTATATCCAGTCTAGTCTTTCATCTATCTAACTCTGTCCTCGAGATTTAGGAAGGGCAGTTAGATCGACGACAGTACGGCCCAATAATACTATAAAGGAAATGACAAATTTCAAGCCAACTAGTGGCAGAGTGAATAAAACTAACAAAAACAATTGTAATTGGTCGCGGGTTCGCACGTGGATAACGGTTTGGCCACGTGAAGTTTCCAGCTTTTCTTAACGTTTATAACACCTAAATTGGGGCAAATTTCCCACAAAAAGTTCTCCCGGTAAGCATCACCTCTTCAGATCACACACGTGTCATATACAAACAAACAAAAATTTTAAAGTAGCTTCATTGACGTCAATTACAATAATTGAATGCACAAAATAGATCTTGGAATGATTTTATAATTTTATTTTATCAATTATGTATTAATATTATCAACGCATTATTGTGCAACAACGATTCGCATTGTTTCAACTTTAAAAAAATCTTCAGCAAATTGCAAATTAACAGGTTGCATTTCGAGATCCTTTTACAGAAACAAAGAAAAAATGTCTGCAATAAAAGAAAGTGTAAGTCTAAATCTTCAATTGTGATAAACGACTTTATATTCTGTAACGTAATTTACGATGCATTCGAGAACCATTGTGCATTTACATTTGACAAATCACTTTCCTTTTTAGGAATTGCCGAAGCCGTCGGTTCCCGAGCTCTCCGTCACTCTAAACAGATTCTTGGAAGGAATCAGAGCAATTGTCCCCAGTGACAAATACCAGGAAGCTCGAAAATTAGTCGAAGATTATAAAACGTCGGGGGAAATGCAAAAGCTGCAGGGGTTCTTGAAGGAATATGCAGAAAGCCACGAAAATTACGTGAGTTTTTCTTCTTTCTCGACATGCCCTTTCACTAGAAATAATAATAAACGCCTTTGCAGGTGACCGAATTTTGGCTGAAAGATAATTTGAAAAATACTTTGCCTCTCCCCATCAACTCCAGTCCGTTCTTCCTTCTGCCGAAGCGGTTATTCAATACAGATGACGAAAGATTTCGGTAATGGTTTCTCGTGAAATAGTCATTTCTAAGTAATTTATCTTATTGATGAGTGTGTATTATTTTTCAGATTCGTTGCAAAATTTATCATCTTTTCGCTTATGTTCAAGGAAAGAGTTGATAGGTAAACAGAATTCAATAGCAAGAAAACAATTATTTACACGAGAAAAACTGTGAGTAAAATGAGTCATTGTACTGTACAGGTGAATTAAAACAAGAATTTGATGGAAGACAAGAAAAAAAGAATGCACTTTCCATGGCCACGTATCGTCACTTTTTCACGGCTTACAGGAGACCAGGCGCTATTAAAGACGAGCACATTTTTAGTGAAGGTGGTCCCTATTTCATTGTGGTGTGTAACAATCAGGTAATATGCAAGAAAACAATGCGATTTATATTCTTTATAACTTTCCGAATTTCAAGTTGACTTTTTAAGATTAAATATATTGCATTAAATTTTTTCTTTTGGGCTTATTAATTTAAAATATCTCTACGTGTATTGCTATATTCTATTACAGGAGTTCGCAGTCGTTTTCTTGCATTGGCCCATATAGAAAATATGCAATTTCAGTCGATTATTTTAAAATTTTTCTTATTTCTCATGATTTTTTGTAATACAACAAATAAATTATTTAATCAATTAATGAATTCTCCACGTGATATTTATTATTCTTATTTGAAATTCTCGATAAAATACAATAAGTATCTGATTTTTCCATCGTCCATATCGACCCATTTGGGAATCTCTGCTCCAGTATATTTATTAGATATTAATCAGCATGGGAAAAACTGGAAATACGGAACCAAGATTTGTTTTTGAGCCTTTTATTGTAAACGACTGACTTACGAGTCTGATAATGAAAAGCTCATAGGTTGCCTTTTAGCAAAAGTGAAACTGTCACTCAAGAAATAGGAGAATTAATTCATGTAAATATTGGAGGATCAATGGAAATTAGGTCTATAGGTGGCTCCAAATAATACATTTTGTTCAGAGATGATTTCTCGAATTTTCGAGCTGTAAAAACACTAAAGGCAAAAAAGAAGCACCTTACCAAATAAAGAACTTCATAGCATATATGGAGCATCAAACAGGAAAAACAGTGAAAGCTATTCGTACCGATAGAGGACGTGAGTTTGTGAATCAAAAATTGTCTAGTTACTAAGAGGGTACATCTGTCATCAGACAACAGTAGGGTATTCTCCGGAACAAAATGGAAAAATAGAAAGAGATAATAGAACAGTAGTTGAGCTAGCAAGATCCATGCTGTATGCAAGAGGACTCGACAAAAACTTGTGGGCTGAAGCAATACATACAGCACTAAAATATAAATTTTCGTCTATAATTTCGTATTTTTTTATTTTACTTAATATACCTGACATATTAAGTAAAATAAAAAATGTTTTCCTGTAAAACTTTGTAACATTATCTGTAAAGCCAGTATAATAAGTCCTAATAATAGAAAGATACGAAATTATAGACGAAAATTTATATTTTAGTAAGAAAAAAGACATTGAGGCATTTTAATTAATACATACAGCAGTTCATGTCAAAAAAAAAAAAGCAATGTCACAGACAGAACCCAAATTGAAGCATTAACAGGAAAGAGAATCCGCATTGATCATTTGCGTGTATTTGGCTCCAGAAGTTTCATACACGTTCCTGAAGAAGACAAAAATCAGACCCAAAGAGCAAGAAAGGAATCTTTGTAGGGTATGATCAAAATATAAAAGGATACAGAGTTTTGGTTGGAGGAAAGGTTGGAATCTTCAGAGATGTTGTCTTTGACAAGGAACTAACAGCAACAACACAAATGAAAATGGATGTGAATAAAAGTGAAATAAATAATCACCTTGTTATAGTAGTGAAGAAACTGGAGTACAAGTGCAAATGCAACAAAAAGACAAAAAAAAGTACATTGGACTGCTGTTCAACGTATTTTTCGCTATCTAATGGGAACTGCGAACCATGGATTAGTGTTGATGGGAAACAGAAGTGAATTACTTGAAGTATTTAATGATTCTGATCATCGGGAGATCTAGATGATCGAAAATCCACTACTGGATACGTAGTTAAAGTACTGGAAAACACAGTGGGGTGGGGCAGCCGAAAGCAAGCCAAGCTACCGTTCCATTATCCTCAACTGAAAGCTGCAAGTAAATCAACGAAAGAACTTCTCTGGTTCAAGCGCCTAATTGTCGACCTGGGACTCAAGAGTGCAATAAAACCCATATTACACGTGGATAATAAAAGCGCCATATGCCTAGCTAAAACTCCAGAATTCTCAGAGGACAAAGCATTTGGACACTAGATACTACTTTGTTAGAGAAAAATTTCATGAAGGAGAATTTGAGAACACATATTGTCAAAGCAATATCCAGCTGGCAGACATCCTAACCAAAGCTCTGCCTAGAAAAAGCTTTGAGCGGATCAAGAACAGATTGAGTGTGGGTTAGAAAGAATTATTACCCAGAGATTCGCGTTCTCTTTGGTTTTTGACTTAAGGGAGAGTTTGGGAGTATTTAATTTAGTAAGTAAAAATCAGAGAGAGAGCGAGGGGGCCAAAGTTGTTGTCAGTTAACGCCAGAGTTAAAAACAAGTAACTAGAAATGTACTGTACGTTAATGATAAACAAATTTATTTGCATTTTTTGTTTAATAAGTTACAAATAAAGGTTGTTGGATTATAACTGAAGGTGTCCTTTATTGTGTAAAGCAAAGTCTAGCATTAACAGTTTCATCTCTCAATCAATTTTACGATTATAATTTATGGAATTTTTAGTGGATTTTAAAGTGGGGCATTATGTTTCTTCTGAGATATATATATATATATTAAATAAGAGGAATAGGCCTGCTAGTGTTTTCTCTTCCTCTCGTAAATGTATTTTCACTTATATTTTCGTTGTACGATGTTTAGTCGAACCTGTCGTTTCTCAAAGACTTCCATTTAATACTTTCATTTAATTATTTAGGCATAGTAAACTTACTTTCTCTTTCAACAATCACTTAGGAGTATTATAAACATTATCTACCTATTGCAACTCCCTTTTCTGGACAGTTATTGTAAACTTCGTGACTTTCTTGCCTATAATGTTTTGTTCATATCGACAGAAACAAAGCCAAAATATTTTAACGTCGACCTCCATTAGATGCCAGGTATATACAGGTTAATTCGAAAATCTCAGACACAATTTAAAAATAAATCAAGAATACAAATAAAGAACCATTCTTATCTGGAAACATATAGCCTCAAACAACACCCGAGTGATCTAATAAAAATGATGTATACTTTATGTGTATTCCTTTCTGTGTCATTTTTCTATACTTTCGAGCAACTCGGACTGGCGATTACGGCGTGGTAAAGATTGTTTGTTTATACCTGACTTCCCTTTACAGTTTGTCTAAGACTTTTCAATGAAGTGACATAGTGTATATACAGTCGATCCCCCTATAACACGGTAGATACGTTCCTGTTTTTATGAATCCATTTCTTACGAGTCCAGCCAATCATAGCCCTGCACGTATGCAGTTTACGGACTACGGCTGTTTGAAAGGTTTCTTCCATAAAATTAATCGATTCTAGACTAATTCGACTCAACATTTCCAAAATAAGTATAATTTTTTGGGAATAATCCATATAAACTATGCTATAAACAAAAAATGGTAGAATTACTTACCGAGTGTGCACCATTCGATTACGTCGTTGCTTAAGCTTGTTTTCGTCGTGGAGATTGACATAAAATGGCGCTCGCGTGCTTCCTGATAAATTATTTTTTTGCGAAAAATTCGCTGAACTTTGGAGACATCATTAATTTAAATATAATTTTTTTGGACGTTAAATAATAACTTGTTTTTAGTAGATCCGCTGCTCGTTTAAACTCAACGGTTTGTGCGATCCTGTCGCTACACGATCCTGTCGCCACAAACGTCATCGCCGACTCGTGTCGGCGATGACGTTTTACCGAATTATAGGAGGTGTTTTTAGCACGTTTGTACGAATACTGTCGCAATTTTTTCGCCGTCATATAGGAACCCGTGCTATAGGAACCCGTGTTATAGGGGGGTCGACTGTATATATATATATATATACTACCTACGAGCCGTATTCAGCATATTTGTAGAAATTAGAAAATGTATCTTCTCGAAGAAGTTTTCATTTGCATTATTTATATCACCATAGAACCATTCAAGTGTTAAGGAAATACTTTCTCTTTCTCTATTTGATTTGCATTTTATACTTAATTAATTTTAATTAAATGCGTTTATTGGATATTAGGTTGATATACGCTGATGTTTCCACAATTGTATTTTTAAATATTCAACAGATATTTCAAGTGAAGGCGACTTCTTTTATAGACAGTTATACAAGTGAAAAAGCTCTCATAGAAGAGCTCAAGAAAATAGAAGCGTTAAGTAAGCAGGTGCCACACTACCCGCCAGTGGGGATTCTCACAGCTCTCAACCGAAAAGAATGGGCGAGGATAAGAGAACAAATGATCCAAAGTAACATCAAAGCCAAAAATTTCTTAGATATTGATAATTTTCGATGGTTAACTCAAATTTACGAATACGCAGATGATAATAATAAAGAATCAATTCGGATTATTGAAAATTGTCTGTTTGTGGTGTGCATGGACGAATCGAACGAATGGATAAGGAAACGAACCAAACCGAAAAGCTTTTCGTACAAGAGGTTGGAAGATAGGGCTTACCACATCCTTCACGGCAATAAAAGTGGACATTCCACCGGTAACAGATGGTTCGATAAATTTATTCAGGTAAAATTTATTCATTGCAAACAAATCACTCAATAGGTCGATAATTTTCAATCGTACTCTTTCATTTTAAAATACTCTGGGAGGACTCTTTTCATATCAAATAGAATTTGATATGAATATGATAGAATAAATATATCTATCAGGGTATTAATCCAAACATAAATTGCAATACGTAAAAGACACAGAAATAATCTCACAATGCGATTTATATTTTGAATGTTTTAGTTTCGTAAAATTGAGCTTCTTTATATTCTAATCGAAGTGTGTTTAGCAGTTTGTATGTCGGCACAGAAGAAAAAATAATTTCTATGTTGATTTTAGCCACATTATCATTTTACTTCTGTCTAAAACTGAATTTCAACATAATTAAATTGAAAGTTCTAAATAAAATATATTCATCTAATTTGCATATTAAAGTTATAGATAAATCGATGCCCGATTGTTTACTCTTTTTGTTCTGTAGTTTATCGTAACCAAAAATGGTGTAAATGGAATTGCAATGGAACGTTCGGTGTCGGAAGGGAGTGAGGTTTTAAGATTCTGCGAAGAATTCCTGGATTTCGTGTAAGATATTTTTATGTCTCGAATTAAATATCAGAAATGGAAGTGAAGTGTTTAATCTACTTGCAGGAAAAAAGACTTACGGGTGCTTCCTACGAGATCATCAGACGATTCGGAGAGAGTTACGAGACTTACTTGGAATATCAGCGAATCTGTGGCAGATGTGATCAAAAATGCATCGGCCGTCATAGACGCGTAAGATACTGTAATTTTGACGATCAACGAATAATAATTTTTATTGAAGCGTAGAAAACGTCAGTTCACCCTTTGCCTGTCTTTATTATCATAACTGCTTACAAGTTATGATACAAAAATAGCTAGAAGTAAAACAACACGTAAAATCACTATGTGATGTTCATACTTGAAAAGGCTTTTATTTACAGAAAATTTTCATCATTAGATATCGATCAGTAAATTCTTTCGATTATTCGAATCGAGAAATGTTACGGAAAGTATTATTTCTCTAGAGAAATTTCATTGTAATCACAAACAAACGTTGTGGCAATCTCGTTTGAATCTTCTGTTCTTTTCAACAAGTTCTTTGACAAATGCAATTTCTGAAAATTTTGATTGTTTTATTTATATTATTACTAGCAGGTGGGCCCGGCGTTGCTCGGGCAAAAGTAACGATAACTAAGATAAAGATTATTACGTTACAGTAAACCTTACCCGTTTTCACAGAATGCAATAATTGTTTCCAGACTAATTAGAGAATTTTTAGATGGGTCTAAAAATATGTTCGATTTCCCACAAAAACGAAAAAAACTGCATCTGCGTCTTGCACGTCGCTTTCTCTTAACAATTCCATTGTTACGTAGCATTTTCATTGTTCACACTTCCATTGTTACGTAGCATTTTCATTGTTCACACTTCCATTGTTACTCAGCACTTCCATTGTTGATGGAAGTGTTAAGCCTTAATCCTGTCCCTCTACCCCGTGGGGAGGAATTTCGAAAAATCCTTTCTTAGTGTGCGTTCTCCTAACGTACCATAACTGTGTACCAAATTTCAAGTTTCAACTCCTAACCGTTTGGGCTCTGCGCTTATTATTATTATTATTATCATCAACCCGTCTCGATTATATATTAGATTTTATAATTTCCGGAAACAGTTTCTTCTGATCTTTAAAATAATTTTGGTTTAAGACCCGAACAAATATTCATTATAGACGTTGTTTTCAGAATGATCGACACATTAGAACTTAAAATTTTTATATTTAACGATTACGGCAAAGACTTTCCGGAAAAACAAGAAATCAGTCCCGATGTGTTCATTCAGTTGTGTTTGCAGTTGACATACTTCAGGTTTGTTTAAACGACGATTCTCTTTCCTTTAATGCCTATTTGAGTGTAATTAATTAAATCAACAACTTGTTATTTACTCATCAGAATGCATGGAAAAATGACGGCCACTTACGAAAGTGCCTCTTTGAGGAAATTCAGATTCGGTTGCGTCGACAACATCCGCGCTTCCAGCCAAGAGGCTTTGGATTTTTCAAAGTCCATGTTAGATCCTTCCCTGAGTCAGGTCAGTCGAACGAAAACTTCTGAATTATTACAAAACCTTATTCAAATTGACTCCTTCGATATTTTTAGAAAGAAAAATTTATTAAGTTCCGGAAAGCTGTTAAAAAGCAAACCGAAAATCACCTCTATGTAAGTACCAAAGAGCTATAAATTAACCGAGAAAAGTAATTAACAATTCCGTAATCGTTGTAATATGTATTTTCGTGCAGACAATCAACGGAGAAAGACCGGATAACCATCTTCTCTGTCTAAAGGAAATGGCTGCTCTACACGGTTTACAAGAACCGGCACTTTATAAAACAGATTATTACAAAGAGTTTCTGGATTTCCGCTTATCCACCAGTCAGGTCGATCATCTTTTTGTGCATTGATTAAGTATTAACGAGTGGAAGGGTAACAAATGAATAGCATTTGTAGTTTCCCACGACCTACGACATCATAGTTGGATACGGTCCCGTGGTGCCCGACGGATACGGATGTTCGTACAATCCACTGCACGATCGTATCGTCTTTTGCATTTCTTCCTTCAAAAATGATCTCTCCACGGACTCGGAGAAGTTTGCACAGGACCTGCAATTGAGTTTGATGGAGTTGAAGGCGCTTTGTGAGAGTGGGAAGACTGCAGTTTCCACCAGGTTGTTCTCTATTGTTTAACAATTCGTTGGTGTTTTAGACAGTTTAATTACTCGAATAATGTTGTTTTAGCTCACCGAAAAAGGCTGCAGTTAATGCGGAAGCAAAGTAATTAAACAAGAAAAAAATTCAACCATTCGGATGTTTTCGGTTTAAGCTGCGGAATTTCTACATCAAAATTTCCGAGTTAAGCAAAATTGTTTAATAATGATTAAAAATTGATTTTATAAATTTCACGTAAACCTTCGTTGTTCGTTTTAATCATTTACTCATAATTGATTCAATATATATATAGAAGTTCGACATAAGGAAAAGTATAGGTTATCTTTATTCAAAAATATTAGAGTTACTTAACTAACACATAAATAATTAATATCTTTCGTGACTTATAAAATAATTTAAATATTAAATTCCATTATTATTTCAATGTACATTCTGTCTGTTTGGAGATTCCGAACGTGTTGTGGGTTTTTTTTTTTACTCTTTCCGCTCTGTGGGCACTAAGAGGGCCTCTTATAGCAGTCCTATTATGGGTTCGGCCAGGTCCACAATGGGGCGACCGGGTGGTGGGGGACGGCCCCGACATATCCGAACAGACCACTCCAAGAAATTTTCGGGGGGTGGTTCGATGACTCGTTCGATCCCGGGTCCCCCAGGGCGGTAGGCTGCAACCTTGACATCCGAAATTTAAGCGTTGTAAAAGTGCAAAATTGACCAAATACGTATTTTCTTCTTCCTTTTCTTCACCCGACATTACAGACCCTTCTAGAGAATCACTCAACTTTAAGGTAGCCAGGATAAAATTGCAGGGAAACGAATGATCTTCATTCAAAATGTCGTCTCGGACCCGTATTAACGAACTTCTAGAAGATGCGACATAGTATTCTCCAATATAGGAAAGTTACCAGAAGCTGACAATATTTTTATATTTCGTATTCACAAAACGCGTGGCAACAATTACGATAAAACAGAAGGAATTAACAACGAGTGTGTCTTATGACATCACTAGTGACATCTTCCGTTTTAATAAAGCCAATACGAAGATCTTTCTTTTAGATTTTTCTCGCAGCACGCGGTATTTAATCGCTGGCTTAGGGAAAATAGTATTGTATTTGTTTAGAATTAAAATGGATAATTATGTAAAAAGTAAGTATTGATAATTAATATTTATATGTACCTACCTAGACTTATGAGAGAGCTCTTAGTTACGAAACTTTGTACAATATTGTAGCTTACCGTGTGCTTTGTCAATACTAGATTCGTGAATCTGGCAACTTAACATTAATTTTTTCGTAAGTTACCATACGAGGAGTTTGCGAATTATTCCCAGAATTACAAAAGCTAAAATTTATGCCAATTAAAACATTTTATAACGAAGTATCGAAAGTGTACGTCATTACGTTAGTAGTGTTTCTTTGGTGAAGATAAGTTCGGCGCTCGAAAGTTGTATCTACAAAATTTTTAATTTTTGTTTTCTATATTTCGCTTCGAAGCGTCAAGCTTATCTTTACCATTATTATCGTCATTAATTGTCTGGTTGCACTGAAATTTTCTGACATCCGTTACGCGGAATCATCTAAAATCTAAACGTACTTTGTTACCAACTAAAAGTCAAAAATGACAAGTAAACCGAATGATATCCTTTTCATTGTTCAAAACAGGTAAAACCGATTTTGTTGCCAGTACTTGATAAAATTATTCATCACCTAAATAGAGGGCAGTTTCTCATACGAGTCTTTCCGGAAGCACTCCGTTGGCAGACCGATCGCGTGTTGCGAATCTAGGTCAAGTTTTCAGCACGATTCAAATATGGAGGTATTTTAGGTATTCTGGCATTCCATATGGTGGCGTAAAGCTACCAGTCATTCCATAGATTCAGATTCAGATTCAGATATTTATTTTGTATATGTCACAAGACATATCCCGGTGCCGCTTGTGCATAACCGGGTGAATACAAGTATATAATATTAATTACATAATATATGAGTATAACCTTGATTACATAAAATATGAGTAAAATTAAATACATAATATATGATTATAATATATATACATTTTTAAATAATAAACGCGTACAATAGTATATAGTTAATTGCACGCGCGTGCAGTAACTTATTGCAGAAGCATCTTGTATTGCAGGACAACACTTATGATGTGCCATCAAAGGCAATACTCTCACACTCAATTGATACACAGTATCATTTGTAATCATATTAATTAACACTTAACAATTAATTAACACGATCAATTATTAAGAATAATAAATTTACAGTTCGACTATGCAAGTGCATATCACAAATACATCACATATGTTACATAAATTAATACCAGTGAGATAGATATCAATTACATGAACTCAATATTATACAATCAGAATTATGAAATACATAAAAATTAACTACATTATGTCACGTATGTTACATAGATTACTATAGATGATAAAGTATCAATTACATGAGAACAATATTATACAATCAGAATTATGTGATACATAAAAATTAACTACATCTCAAGTTTTCATACATAGCTATGTATATAAGTTAGTCATATCCATTTATCATTATTATTAATAACTTGCATTAATTAACATACATCGAATCTTCCTACAATGTTTGTCAATTACTCACGTTATACATACAATCTATAATTATACGTTGTGTATGTTATATACAATTTACACATCACTATGGTAATTCTCATGATGACATCATCTACATGTTCTCCTGAATAACATTCCAGTTATGCTTCCAGTTAGCTGCCGTAAGACAAGGGTCCTCACATCCATAGATACACTACTCATCATAAAAGTGAAATCTTAGCGTTGTGAGTCACTTATCATCTCGTAAGTTCTTGAGTTCACAGTTTAAGCCATATGTGGCTTAATTGAAGACAATAGCTCATAAGATCCAAAGTTTGGTAGTTGAGCATGTTCCAAAGTGCTCTCAGTATGTAAATGTCTCACTTAATAGTGCATTACTTATAATATAATGTTGAAAGGAACACCACAAGAGGACGCTCACAAATTTTACTGAAAAATCAGTTAAGTGTTACTAGTTCGGAGATCAATCCAGCCAGAGTGACCTAAAGTTGAAGATATGACGAAAAGTCCACTCCTTACAAGAACGTTACAGTCATTAATATGGTAATCCTGTAGCAAATACCTATAAGTACGCTACTGTTATAGTGTATAATAATGTGGACTCTTCTTGAATCCAATGAAAGACACAGTTCTAACTGAACCATAGTTACTCTATACAAAACAAAATCAGTTGTAACTCAGGTTGAATAACACTAGAGTTGATCCAGTTACTTCTGTTTAATATTCTGCATAGCTTTGATTACTGAAATAATTGGATTACAAAGTGCTACAGAGACGATAATTGAGTTGAGCTAGCAGTTTAATCGTTCCGCAATAACGTTTAAATATTATCCAGTGTGTTTTTAGAATGACCTATATATTGGTTATGATACCTAATGATTGACATAGATAATAGCTTCAGTGACCGCTATAGGCTGGTACGTTGGTTCTTAGATGGTACATTTCAACAAGTTGTAAGAATGCATCAAGGGTATCCTTATGATCAAATACAATATCCAATGTAGGTGGTGGCCAGTTTATTTTGTGGGAATATAATAGAGTTTTTAATGTTGATCTTTCTACTTCTAACATTGGACAATCATATATGTAATGACTACTCCCATCAATAATGTCACAGGTAGTGCAATTTGGATTTATTGCACCTTTAAATCTGGACAGATACGAAAAAAAACGACCGTGGTTTGTGAGTATTTGTGTCAGATGGCTAGTGGGTTTGTACCATTTGTTTGTACCAGTCATTCCATAGTCCATCTTCGGCTGCAAGTAGATGCACTCTTATAACAAGATCTCGCCAAACCGCATACTGCGTGCTAAATTAGTGTTTGGTTTCGCCAGAATCCAGTTCAACTCCTGGACTAAATTCCAAATTCACCCGATCTGAAAGTAATCGAGGACCTTTGGTTCTCGAGAAAGAGTTACGAAAACGCCGAATCTTCTTCAGCAAGTCTGAACCAATATTCCACAAGATTTTTGCTTAGGTCTAGGAGAGTTACCGACGTGTACGCTACAAGGTGTTTTCATTTATTTGAACAGCAGTTGAACTCTTCTTATATTTTAAAATATTGTGGCATCAATTACGCTAAATTATGTAATGAAATTTAACACGGTAACTTGTGTATAAGGGGCATTGATTGTATTAAATTTTGGAGTACGCAATTAAAGTGAGTGATGCGTAACATAAATAATCTCAAGGGGGGTCAGACTTAATGAAAATTTTACTCGTTATTAGTATTTATATTTTAAAAATCATTTCTATTCTCAAAATCCGACCCTTTGTTGTATTTTATAATAATAATAATTTAACTTATTTTTTAATATCTCGTAAGAGACATAAATGCTGTTCTCACGAGTATTGTAGCGTCATTTCATGTATGGACGGAAACGAAATGACCTAAAATCCGTATTTATTTTTAAATCGTTAGTTAAACTTCCCATTTAACTCCATTCTAATAAATAAGTTAAAATAATTACATTCTGTACGGTCCCACCCCCGTTAAATCTATTGTGACAGGCTGGCGGATATCTATGACCTTGACTCACTTATACAATAAGTCAGACAATGAAGAGACTTTATGTCGTGACAACCGGATAATGACGCGTAAACGTATCGAATTTCTTTAATATCGAACGATCGATAGTATATTTTTAAATTATATTTTAGATAGAAGCATTACATCCCAGTACATGAAATTGCTTAATTACACAAAGAAAACAAAGTTACGATTGTGGGAGATAAATGTGTTTACTACTCTCGAGACCTGCCTTATGACCTTCAACAAAATTTAGGTTACCTATTCACGTTTGTTTGTGTTACTAAACACGGTTCTACCCTAGGAATAAATTATTTAATTTGTGTTAGATATAGCATAATGTTATTTTATTATTTGGCGTAATAATAAAACCGTCGATACCCATGTAAAATTCTTCGATGTAATTATAATAAAATATTGTATGAATTTATAAATAATTTACTTTTCCGGCTGTTATATACGACAGGAGAAAGTATAAGATCGGTGAAAAATGACCCCCCTCCCCAAGATTTTTACAGTTTTGGATTCAGGACA